GGTTTGGATTCTTGAGTCTTAAAAGCTGGTCTTAAGAACTTGTGCAAGGGGAGAGAAATGATCCTTCACTTCTCAACACCAAGTGTCTGCGCCTCTTAGCCAACAAAGCAATTGAGTAGTGCTGATGTAGGTATTCAATCAAAATTTATTTTAAATGCACAACCCGCGCGATGCATTTAAACAGCCGATTCAAGGCAATTTGGTCATTTTTATTAACCGATTATCAAAATTTACAACAAACGGATGCGAATGATTTCTTGACTTTAGCCAGACACCAAAAATTGATAAATTCAGTCCACTACTACGCATCTGACTCCAAAGTAGGGGTATCAGTGCATAAAAGCTTATGTGGCGATTCAACGAAAGCCATGATTCTTGCACACATGTCTCCTTCATCTTAATATTCAGACTCATTTTTGCTCTTGCTTCTCATTTGTAACTCTGCACCATATTAAACTCACTTTTCCTGGTTTTACAAGCTTATCTGTTTCGGATGATGGTGATGTTCTGATTATGAGTACGTTAATGTTGTTGTATCGAATAATTAATAAGGCAGCACTACTCCCGTCTCCATTTGCAGACGGTTTTCGTGTCAAATCGAACAGCAGCGCGTCACCTAATGTCACGCAGTTGCCACGCGACTGCTGGTAGTGGAGGTGCGGGATCGAGAGGGGCAGCAGAAGATGATGAGATAGACGGACCGGAGATCGCACGCCTCATGCGGCGTTTCTGGCCCCGAGATCTCAACTTCTTCGGTGGCTCCACCGCCTCCAGCGGCTCGCGATCCGTCCGCGATTCACGCTCCTCCTCCACCTCCGCTCATCGGCCTACCGTACTGAATCTGCGAGGCACCGGTGATGGTAAGTCTTGCTTTCAACACTCCTCCTACCCTTTGTGGCGTTAGGGGCAGATACAGTTTCAATTTTTTTATTGTCCCAGATTGCAGGTGCCGCTACGGCGAATAGACTTTAGTTTTGGTGAAGGTAAGCCATGTCAGAGCTCATAAATCGCGGTCATTCAACAATAAGTTTAGACTGGTAGGAGTGCCCATTTTCTGAGTTTTCTAAGTGAATGAGGGCCAATAAACTACACCATTTAAAAGGACAAAGGAGTCTTCGTCACACAGTAGCATTTCTGCACGTTCCACCTGATCCGTAATTTGCTCACCTGGAGTTGATAGTACCCTAAGTAGAATTGCCCAAAAATCTTGATAAAAGATGGATCTAGTTGACTTGCTGGTTATCTTTAACCAATAAACTTGCCGTTTCGCCGTACGTTTCTGATTGGTCCATTAAGGGGCAACGGTACTTAATCCCAACCACTATTGCCATGACGGTGTAATTAAGTACGTTTGCGTCGGAAATGGCGCAACTGTCGGGAGGGAGGTTACGATGTTAAACAGAACGTGCTCTACGTTTACTATTGAAACTAACTGCAACCTTTTCCCCAGCAAAAGTCGACTGTGGAGTGGCTTTTCCCCCTAGATTTCCTCTTCTGAATTTAGGGTGAAGTTTGGAAATCCTGCAAATTTTTGCTCAAATTTTTACAAGTGAATATTTCATGAATAGCTGTTGAGAATTTTGCTGAGTACTTTGGGACATTTTTTGAAAATAATTGCTTACCTCCCTTCGGAAACCCTAGTCTTCACAAAAACACTACCTTAAACAAATAGCAGGAGTTCTTGTAACGGAACTTCTTTGCATTCCTTGGATGATCTCCGAGCGGTGTAATGAGCCTCAAGGAAATTGGGCCAATTTAATTTGATTTTTTCAGAAAACGTAGGTTCCTCAGTCAGGCAAACTTCATGCGCACATTTTACTTGAGAGTTGTTAACATGCATGGGTTCTTATTTACCAAGCGTCACATCACATTTCTGATTGTTAAGCTGGCTCGACCACATTATTCGTTGCGTAGACAAAACCTACATCTCTCAGATTCGTGTTGATTCAGCTACGCTATGATAGAAAGTTGGCTCACGTACGTATTACCATTAATTCCTTTCGACGGTATTTTGAAAGAACTTTGTTAATTAAGACTGGTAAAGTCTTTGATTGTTACCTCAAATAGGAAGGGGAATCTTAGGCTCTCTTGCGCATTTCCGTTCCGTTGGGCCACCACTAGTTCGATTTGCTACGGCAGGGAAGGGGACAGGTAACTCCTACGTAAGCACGCATGCACGTGCATTTTTCGCACGATTCTACCTGCACAATTTCGACACCGGTCAGGCGAACGCTGGAAACTTGGTAAAACAGTTTTCGCTTTTCGCTTTTCGACAATTAGGTATTAAGATCACGTGACTTGACGAAAGCAGATTTCCCAGGCATTTACATCCTCTCGCCCTTGACCTAATATTGGGTCTGGTCATATGACTCGTTGTCCAAAATTGTGCACATCAGTGGAGCCTGTTCACATTTACTTCAAGCCCTACAACCAAGCTTTAAGTAAGGCGTACCGCGTTCTATTAAACATGAGGTTTCTGGGCTCTGTACCTTTTGGTGCAGAGACATGCGACCTTTCGGCTATTCTGGTAAAATATTTTATTGTCCTTTTTGAGTCTCGTTTTCGAGGCGTGTTATAGAGCCAATTTAGGTGAAACAGAGAAGATGTTGCTTTTTTTGGAACCAGAGTAGTACTTTCATTGCTATCCTGATTTCCTTGGTAGCCTAAGCAACCCAGTGAGAAGTCAACGATGGAAACACGGTGGTCAGTGGAAAGGTTGATTTTAAAATCTAACGTTACCCTTTTATCTTTATTGGATCGATTGAAAAAACAAGCAGGTAAGTAGTCAGTAGGATAGCTTAATGCTTATCGCCGTTGGATGAGGAGAGTCAGTACCTGAGAAAAACTTTTTAGTAATTAATCCATTCATATCATTATCGTGACACAGAACCTCCTTTTACATCACCGAAAATTCATTTTTTTTGCATAAAATGTGATAAATATTGGTCGAAGTCTCTCGAATTATTTTATCAGGACTTTATGGAACGATATCGCTCGCATAAAGTAAAGGGTAGGATGCTCACAACTAATGATGGGCAATGGGGCAGAGGTGATAAGGACTGACTAAATATTTTGATTTAAGGAACCGTGCAGCACTATATACTCTGAGGTGCCCCTTTTGCTCAAACTACTACCTACAAGCTGTGATAAATGCATGTCGGTTGGTAGTCGCAACCTTTCTTTGTCTTAATTTAGAATCGATCAATATGTTTATGCTTGAATCACATCAAAGTTAATTTTCGCTTCGAAACCCAATGAACGGTGGCCACCCAGCAATTGTCTGAGTCTCTCCTTGCTTGCTTGCTTTTGACACCTACTGACACACTTTAAGGAATATTCTGTGAATATTTGCACTGAAGAGCAGGCATTTTATTATTTCCGCTGCCACATGAAACACAACTGAATAATACATTATCTTACTTGTACTCTTGCATCACTTGCTGCTGCAGTGGTATAGTTGCTATGGCTGCATTACTGCGCGTTAAGCGCCAATAAAGTGATCCGTCTGCGTTGTATTCTCCGTCAGGTTGCTTTACTTTATTTATGCGCCGCTTGAATGTTTGGACCACACGGAAGCGCCCAAACGATTAAGTAGTTTTTAACTGCAGTGTACGCATTGCTCCTGGAAAGGCCATTTCGGGGTGCATTAATACACCTGCAATCATATTATCGTAGGTCACAACCAGCGGCGGTTTACTATGGGCGTTACAAAACTGGGAGTGCTTATGGGACTAGGAGATATCGGCACTACATAGAGGGGACTTTTGATATGGTTGATGCTAGCATGTCAAGAAAAATTTAATTGTTCAAGCTAAATATTTTTTTACGCAACCTCATACCATTGCACAGTCCAAAACAGGCCTACTTGCCCTTGTCAAAATGCCTCATTGCAGAATATTTGCGGTTTCTTGGACTACAGTAGTCTCTGCAACGCTCAATTTGGTGCAACCATGGTTACCCTGAACTGATGAAGAACGCGAGTCGCATATTTTTAACACCGTCGTACACTTGCTTTTGTTATATAAAAATGAATCACTTTGCTCTACCATTGGTACCTCTCTTTTTCTCCTTTGGAACAGAGCACTATCGGATCTGTTCTGACACCATCGTTTGCAGTTGTCTGCTTGATTTCTTTGGAAGGGGTAATTATAAATCGAAGGCTACCTCAAACCAGATCAAAGCAGAACAGAAGCCTTTAACAAAATCGGAC